CTGATCACTATGCTCACTATATCCCATATGCATGGGGGACTGTGGCGCAGCTGGCTGGGTGTCAGCTGCATCACGATTGGAGTGAGCTTCTGGCCAATTTGTGTATCTTGTCGTCGACCTTTGCAACCCGAAAGACAGTTGCATCTGTCAAGTAGGAAATTTAGGTACCACCTCCCAACAAAGGATTCCCCCAGGCAGGAAGCAGCCAGGCTTTGAAGCTGCAAGGCTATTCAATGCTAATCAAGGTGGCCAATTGCAATAGTTACACTTGCCTCAAGCAGTCAAGAGTTCTTTCTCCCACCCTGAGATTATTCCACAGATACCTAAACCTTACTTGCCTAGTTTCCAAGAGACCTCACAAACCTCTGAGGATGCCTGCCATAGATGTGGGCGAAATGTCTGGAGGGAATGGGTTGTTGTAGGTTTTTTCGGGCTATATCATAGAATCATAGAATCATAGAATCAAAGAGTTGGAATAGACCTCATGGGCCATCCAGTCCAACCCCCTGCCAAGAAGCAGGAATATTGCATTCAAATCACCCCTGACAGATGGCCATCCAGCCTCTGTTTAAAAGCTTCTAAAGAAGGAGCCTCCACCACACTCCGGGGCAGTGAGTTCCACTGCTGAACGGCTCTCACAGTCAGGAAGTTCTTCCTCATGTTCAGATGGAATCTCCTCTCTTGTAGTTTGAAGCCATTGTTCCGCGTCCTAGTCTCCAAGGAAGCAGAAAACAAGCTTGCTCCCTCCTCCCTGTGGCTTCCTCTCACATATTTATACATGGCTATCATATCTCCTCTCAGCCTTCTCTTCTTCAGGCTAAACATGCCCAGCTCCTTAAGCCACTCCTCATAGGCCTTGTTCTCCAGACCCTTGATCATTTTAGTCGCTCTCCTCTGGACACATTCCAGCTTGTCAATATCTCTCTTGAATTGTGGTGCCCAGAATTGGACACAATATTCCAGTGTGGTCTAACCAAAGCAGAATAGAGGGGTAGCATTACTTCTCTGGATCTAGACATTATGCTCCTATTGATGCAGGCCAAAATCCCATTGGCTTTTTTTGCCGCCACATCACATTGTTGGCTCATGTTTAACTTGATGTTCACAAGGACACCACGATCTTTTTCACACGTACTGCTCTCAAGCCAGGCATTTTCCCCCATTCTGTATCTTTGCATTTCGTTTTTCCTGCCAAAGTGGAGTATCTTGCATTTGTCCCCATTGAACTTCATTTTGTTAATCTTGGCCCATCTCTCTAATCTGTCAAGATCATTTTGAATTCTGCTCCTATCCCTCCCAATTTGGTGTCGTCTGCAAACTTGATGATTCTGCCTTCTAACCCTTCATCTAAGTCATTAATAAAGATGTTGAACAGGACCGGGCCCAGGACAGAACCCTGCGGCACTCCGCTTGTCACTTCTTTCCAGGATGAAGAGGAAGCATTGGTGAGCACCCTCTGGGTTCGTCCATCTAACCAATTACAGATCCACCTCACCGTAGTTTTGCCTAGCCCACATTGGACTAGTTTCCTTGCCAGAAGGTCATGGGGGACCTTGTCGAAGGCCTTACTGAAATCCAGGTACGCTACATCCACGGCATTCCCTGCATCTACCCAGCTTGTAACTCTATCGAAAAATCAAGACCAGCTAACACCTCTCAACAAAGGATTCCTCTAGGCAGGAAGCAGCCAGGCTTTGAAGCTGCAAGGCTATTCAATGCTAATCAAGGTGGCCAATTGCAATATTCGCACTTGCCTCAAGCAGACAAGAGTTCTTTCTCCCACCCTGAGATTATTCCACAGATACCTAAACCTTACTTGCCTAGTTTCCAAGAGACCTCACAACCTCTGAGGATGCCCGCCATAGATGTGGGCGAAATGTCTGGAGGGAATGGGTTGTTGTAGGTTTTTTGGGCTATATTATAGAATCATAGAATCATAGAATCAAAGAGTTGGAATAGACCTCATGGGCCATCCAGTCCAACCCCCTGCCAAGAAGCAGGAATATTGCATTCAAATCACCCCTGACAGATGGCCATTCAGCCTCTGTTTAAAAGCTTCTAAAGAAGGAGCCTCCACCACACTCCGAGGCAGAGAGTTCCACTGCTGAACGGCTCTCACAGTCAGGAAGATCTTCCTCATATTCAGATGGAATCTCCTCTCTTGTAGTTTGAAGCCATTGTTCCGCGTCCTAGTCTCCAAGGAAGCAGAAAACAAGCTTGCTCCCTCCTCCCTGTGGCTTCCTCTCACATATTATACATGGCTATCATATCTCCTCTCAGCCTTCTCTTCTTCAGGCTAAACATGCCCAGCTCCTTAAGCCGCTCCTCATAGGGCTTGTTCTCCAGACCCTTGATCATTTTAGTCGCGCTCCTCTGGACACATTCCAGCTTGTCAATATCTCTCTTGAATTGTGGTGCCCAGAATTGGACACAATATTCCAGGTGTGGTCTAACCAAGGAAGAATAGAGGGGTAGCATTACTTCCCTAGATCTAGACATTATGCTCTATTGATGCAGGCCAAAATCCCATTGGCTTTTTTTGCCGCCACATCACATTGTTGGCTCATGTTTAACTTGTTGTCCACGAGGACTCCAAGATCTTTTTCACACGTACTGCTCTCGAGCCAGGCATTTTCCCCCATTCTGTATCTTTGCATTTCGTTTTTCCTGCCAAAGTGGAGTATCTTGCATTTGTCCCCATTGAACTTCATTTTGTTAATCTTGGCCCATCTCTCTAATCTGTCAAGATCATTTTGAATTCTGCTCCTATCCCTCCCAATTTGGTGTCGTCTGCAAACTTGATGATTCTGCCTTCTAACCCTTCATCTAAGTCATTAATAAAGATGTTGAACAGGACCGGGCCCAGGACGGAACCCTGCGGCACTCCGCTCGTCACTTCTTTCCAGGATGAAGAGGAAGCATTGGTGAGCACCCTCTGGGTTCGTCCATTTAACCAATTACAGATCCACCTCACCGTAGTTTTGCCTAGCCCACATTGGACTAGTTTCCTTGCCAGAAGGTCATGGGGGACCTTGTCGAAGGCCTTACTGAAATCCAGGTACGCTACATCCACGGCATTCCCTGCATCTACCCAGCTTGTAACTCTATCGAAAAATCAAGACCAGCTAACACCTCTCAACAAAGGATTCCTCTAGGCAGGAAGCAGCCAGGCTTTGAAGCTGCAAGGCTATTCAATGCTAATCAAGGTGGCCAATTGCAATATTCGCACTTGCCTCAAGCAGACAAGAGTTCTTTCTCCCACCCTGAGATTATTCCACAGATACCTAAACCTTACTTGCCTAGTTTCCAAGAGACCTCACAAACCTCTGAGGATGCCTGCCATAGATGTGGGCGAAATGTCTGGAGGGAATGGGTTGTTGTAGGTTTTTTCGGGCTATATCATAGAATCATAGAATCATAGAATCAAAGAGTTGGAAGAGACCTCATGGGCCATCCAGTCCAACCCCCTGCCAAGAAGCAGGAATATTGCATTCAAATCACCCCTGACAGATGGCCATCCAGCCTCTGTTTAAAAGCTTCCAAAGAAGGAGCCTCCACCACACTCCGGGGCAGAGAGTTCCACTGCTGAACAGCTCTCACAGTCAGGAAGTTCTTCCTCGTGTTCAGATGGAATCTCCTTTCTTGTAGTTTGAAGCCATTGTTCTGCATCCTAGTCTCCAAGGAAGCAGAAAACAAGCTTGCTCCCTCCTCCCTGTGGCTTCTTCTCACATATTTATACATGGCCATGGTCTAGAGGCATTCCCTCCTGACATTTCGCCTGCATCTATGGCAAGCATCCTCAGAGGGAGTGAGGTCTGGAACAGAAGACGCTGACTTCTTGGGAGGAGAGCAATGTCCAGTCTCGATAAAATAGTAAAGAGTAGAGACATCACACTGGCAACAAAGATCCGCCTAGTCAAAGCCATGGTATTCCCTGTAGTAACCTACGGATGTGAGAGCTGGACCTTAGGGAAGGCTGAGCGAAGGAAGATCGATGCTTTTGAGCTGTGGTGTTGGAGGAAAGTGCTGAGAGTGCCTTGGACTGCGAGAAGATCCAACCAGTCCATCCTCCAGGAAATAAAGCCCGGCTGCTCACTGGAAGGAAGGATACTAGAGACAAAGTTGAAGTACTTTGGCCACATCATGAGGAGACAGCAAAAGCCGACAATGATGCTGGGGAAAGTGGAAGGCAAAAGGAAGAGGTGCCGACCAAGGGCAAGATGGATGGATGGCATCCTTGAAGTGACTGGACTGACCTTGAAGGAGCTGGGGTGGTGACGGCCGACAGGGAGCTCTGGCGTGGTCTGGTCCATGAGGTCACGAAGAGTCGGAGACGACTGAACGAATGAACAACAACAACAACACATATATTGTGGAATGACCAGGGTGAGACAAAGGACTCTTGTCTGCTGGAGCTAGGTGTGAATGTTTCAACTGACCACCTTGATTAGCATTTGATTGCCTGGCAGTGCCCGGAGCAATCTTTTGTTGAGAGGTGATTAGATGTCCTTGTTTGTTTCCTCTCTGTTGTTGTGCTGTTCTAATTTTAGAGGGTTTTTTTTTAATACTGGAGGGAATGCTGGAGGGAACATGGCCACACAGCCCGGAAAACTCACAGCAACCCAGATTCTTCTTTTTTTAATCACCTCGCTTTTGCAACCCTTCGTTAATTGAGGAACTTGGTGAGTTTTGCAAAGTTTTTCCATCTCAATTATTATCTCCTGTTCAAGGCAGGTGGGGATGTACTAGGCAGAGGGGAGGGCGGGGGAGTCAGTTTGAAGCGGAGAACTCCTGCCAAGATCTTTCTCTCTCTCAGACACACACACACACACTCTTTTTTTCCCACCCTCTCTCTGTTTCTTTCCAAGGCAGTATTTAAAGCGACGCCGGACTCACAAAGGGGCAGAAAGTGGCCACCGGTGCGGCTCCGTTCCCTGCTCTCTGGCGCCCTCTGCCGACCGGAGACGCAAACGCCATAGAAGCACGTTTGGAGCAGCAGACACAAAAGACCCTTCTTCTCCCTGCAAGCCATCTCGTGCATCAAAAGGCTTGCAAAATTAAAAAATAATAATAATATTTTTAAAATTCAAACCGGGAGAAAAACAAATATCCCAACAGTCCACTTTCCATCCAGGATGAACAACCTCAGCCCTGAAAACCACCGCTTGGTGCTGAACGATGGCAACCGCATGCCCTTGGTTGGGCTGGGGACTTATGCGGATCCCAAACAGGTAAGAGCCTCCCTGCCTATTCCCTTCCCCTTTTATTCCTTTCCCATCTCAGGATAACCCACCAGAGAGGCTTTCCTTCCCTTTTCTCCCCTACTTCTTCAGCTTTGCCAGACTTTCTGAGCAGTTCAATCCTATGCAAGATGCTGATCTTTAAATATATATATTATTTTCACACTCAGAAGAGTACAAGGAAAAAATAGGGTATTTTCCTAGGATGATCTAAGTGCAAAGCTTCTCATAATAGGAATATTTTTCCCCCAATAGGAACTGGTATTTAAGAACTTAAAGGGGATTTGATTGCTCAGGGAAAGTTTCAGTTTTGGACTCTAACCAAACAACCCCTTCATGCGCTTTGGGGTTATAGTCCAAAGAGGAAACTTTTCCCCAAGCTCTGAGTAAAGAAAGACAGCCAGAGAATGGGAATAAACTCCAGGGAATTTGCTGGTGAGTAAAACCTTGAAGGTACTGGGAAAGTGGGCCTTGCCTCTATATAAACCAGGTATGGGGCAACTTGAGCCTTCCAGGTGTTTTGGACCCCAATTCCCACCATTCCTAACAGCCTCAGGCCCTTTCCTTTTCCCCCTCGGCTGAGGGGGAAAAGGAAGGGGCCTGAGGCTGTTAGGAATGGTGGGAATTGGAGTCCAAAACACCTGGAAGGCTCAAGTTTATACCCATGCCTGGTATAAACTGTATAGGATTGGACTGTGCTTAGGCTCTTTGCTTAAGTGTAGCAGCAAACTAAACCTGTTAAACGTTCCCTATCTGATATCCACTTTCATTGACAAGCCTGAAATCCTACTCTTGAAGATGGCATATAAATAAAATTAGTAGTAACCACCCTTTCTAGCATCCTGAGGAACTATTCTGGAGAACTTGACTGTTTCCAGGACCTATTCTGTTAATGTTTTAGTACTTCCTAGTAGAAGCATTCGCCTGATTGATGGTGCCGCATATATTTATGGAGCCCCGGTGATGCAGTGGGTTAAACCGCTGAGCTGCTGAACTTGCTGACCGAAAGGTTGGGTTTTCAAATCCAGGGAGTGGGATGAGCTCCTGTCGTTAGCCCCAGCTTCTGCTGAGCTGCTGAACTTGCTGACTGAAAGGTTGGGTTTTCGAATCCAGGTTGTGGGATGAGCTCCTGCCGTTAGCCCCAGCTTCTGCTGAGCTGCTGAACTTGCTGACTGAAAGGTTGGGTTTTCAAATCCAGGAAGTGGGATGAGCTCCTGCCGTTAGCCCCAGCTTCTGCTGAGCTGCTGAACTTGCTGACGGAAAGGTCAGCGGTTCAAATCCAGGGAGCGTGGTAAGCACCCGATGTTAGCCCCAGCTTCTGCCAACTTAGCAGTTCAAAAACATGCAAATGTGAGCAGATCAATAGGTACCACTCTGGGGGGAAGGTAACAGCGCTCCATGCAGTCATGCCACTGGCCACATGGCCTTGGAGGTGTCTACGGACAATGCTGGCTCTTCAGCTTAGAAATGGAGATGAACACCAACCCCAAGAGTCGGACACAACTGGACTTAATGTCAGGGAAAAACCTTTACCTTTACTTTACCTATACATATACTGTGTGTATGTGTGTATGTATGTGTGTGTGTGTGTATATATATATATATATATATATATTCATGGAGACACTGGTGGTACAGTGGGTTAAACCACTGAGCTGCTGAGCTTGCTGACCAAAAGGTCGGTAGTTTGAATCCGGAAGCAGGGTGAGCTCCTGCTGTTAGCCCCAGCTTCTGCCAACCTAGGAGTTGGAAAAAATGCAAATGTGAGTAGATCAATAGGTACCACTCTGGCAAGAATGTAACAGTGTTCCATGCAGTCATGCCGGCCACATGTACTTGGAGGTGACTCTGGACAATGCCGGCTCTTTCTCTTAGAAATGTAGATGAGCACCACTCCCCAAAGTTGGACAAAACTAGACTTAATGTCAAGGGGAAACCGTTACCTATATATGTGTGTGTGTGTGTGTGTGTCAGGTGTGAATTGAGATACTGCAAGTTGTTTCTGGTATGAGAGAATTGGCCATCTGCAAGGACACTGCCCAGGGGACACCCAGATGTTTTGCCATCCTGTGGGAGGCTTCTCTTATGTCCCTGCATGAGAAGCTGGAGCTAACAGATGGGAGCTCACACTGCTTCCGGGATTTGAACCGCTGACCTTTCAGTCAACAGTCCTGCCTGCACAAGTGTTTACCCATTGCTTCACCGGAGGCTCCGCCACTGATATGAATAGCAGAATTAATTGAAAACGGACTTAAGCAGAACTCTGTTTTGGACAGATCCTGTCCCTTGCAAACAGAGATAGCTACTCGAAGTGCTCCAGAACGTGAATGGAAATCATGAGGATCTCCAGATATTGTTGTACCTTAACTCCCAGCAGCCTCAGGAAGGGATGCTGAAGGGATGCTGAGAATTATGGTCCAGCACACGTATCTCCACCCTTTTTAGAGTTAGATTGAGAAACGATTGAAGCCAGTTTGACCTAGCCTGCCCATCCATGGGTGGTGGATCACTGTAGCTCTCATTATCCACACCCAACAGGGATGTGAGTGATAGAATTTGCAGCCTGGAGGGGGGGGGGGGTTGCCTGGAGAAGAGGTTTTTGACATTTTTATTTGTTTTGCTTCCTGTTCTGATAAATATCTTTGCCCTAGTGGTAATAGTCATGTTTATTTTTTGCTACTTTTTTCAAAAGGAGGCTTATGACAATTTTTTGAAGGGGAAGGTTTTCCCATATGTTCTCAATTTGATCGCTCTCCAGAAACACTCCTTTTGCTAGTCTTTTGTTAGCCTTGGGAGGGGTGGGGGATATGCTTTCTCACAATATCGACCTCTCCTGGAACAGCTTTTCTTTGTCTCAGGGCTTCCATACAACCCAGAATATCAAGGCAGAAAATCCCACAATATCTGCTTTGAACTGGGTTATCTGAGTCCACAGTGCTATATATAAAGCAGAAAATGTGGGATTTTACTCAGCTGTGTGGAAAGGGGACATGCGTGGACTACAATCCCCAGGACTCCTAAACCACCGAGAGAATCCTGGAAGTTGTAGCCCGTGCTTATTACTTTTCCCCAGCCTTCGTTTGTCTTTCCTAATGCCTAACATCACAGCACTTTGTCATTTGGAAATGGACTTTGTCATTTGAGAGTTTCTACATCACACCAGAGAATCAGATGATTCAGTTTCTGCATTGCTGAAAATCTTGAGGCTGTTTAGTCCATGATAATCGACTAATGAACAAATCTATGGAGTCCACTGGATGGTGTGGTATTTAAGGTAATGGGAGGCTGTGTCGACATTCTGCCTACAATGTTTGATCTGGGATGAATCAACACCCTTGGTGTTGCCAAACATCAGGCTGGGAATATGTGAATTGAGTGCTGGCTACAGGAACGTGCTTGGAGTCTTGTGTGAGGTCCAGGGCTGACCCATGTTCTTTTGCAGTCTGAGGTCAAGGGAAAATGCAGCCTCCCACTTATCTGCTTACCTACATGAAACCAAAACAAGATAGCAATTGAATCACTGCTAAGTATAGGACAAAATTGGGTAGAAGCTGTCCTAGAGGGTTTTATGGAGTACGTGGCAATGAGTGTGCTATCTTCAGCTCTGTCCTCAAGTGTGTCATCCCAAAATTTGTCACCTATGACAGTCACTAAATCATAGAGGTGGAAGAGACCTCATGGGCCATCCAGTCCAACCCCTTGCCAAGAAGCAGGAAAATTACATTCAAAGCACCCCCGACAGATGGCCATCCAGCCTCTGTTTAAAAGCTTCCAAAGAAGGAGCCTCCACCACACTCCAGGGAAGAGAGTTCCACTGCTGAACGTCTCTCACAGTCAGGATGTTCTTCCCAATGGCACATCTAGTTGCCTTGATATGCTCTCCAACACTTCACAGATGAGTCAGGCTACATGGGGCCAAGCAACATCAGAGTTGAAATGATAAAGCTTATTAATGAGGAACCACAGAATAGGAGGGGCTGCAGTAGTTCGCTTTTGCCTGAGCTTACTGGGAAGGACATGATTCACCCACCTCCCACCTTTTCCCCTGTTAAGTGTGGAAACTAATTTAGCATTTTGAGACCTGTTTACTGTCAATGAAGTAAACTGAGAACAAAAGAGGGGGGAGTAGAAGGTGGAGAGAGAGAAACTGAGACATTGGAACCATAGTTCCAAGTTGAATTTTCTGCAGACCATTACTGTGATAAGTGTTGGGGTTTTGGGAGCTGTAACTTTCCTAAACTCTGGCCTTCTAGACCACTACTTAAACTTTGGATTGCAACCCCAAATGGCGTCTCCTTAGCTCAATATTCGGGTGGGTCCTGAAAAAGTTTTCTAAATGCCACCTAGTGGCTGTTGTAGACATTTCCATGAATTTGTTAAACAGTGTTTACAGCTCTGCAGAAGATACTTCAGCTGTAATTCGGAAAAAGGAAAACCATACTGTTTAGCAAGCCTTCTGCCATATTATCTGGAAATGTTTGATTATTATACCTACAGACCTACAACACTTTTTAAATCAACATTTAGGGTTTTTTTGTTGTTTTTGTGTGTGTCAGGAGCGACTTGAGAAACTGCAAGTTGCTTCTAGTGTGAGAGAATTGGCCGTCTGCGAGGACATTGCCCATGGGATGCCCAGATGTTTTACCATCCTATGGGAGACTTCTCTCATGCCCCCGTATGGGAAGCTGGAGCTGACAAAGGGGAGCTCACCTGATCCCCAGATTCAAACTGCTGAGCTTTTGATCAGCAATTCTGCCAGCACAAGAGTTTAGCCCATTGCATCACCAGGGGCTCCCAAACATTTAGATAGGTTTCATTGATTCCATATTGGGAGAGATAACTGGATTTCAGTGATGGGTGATGAACTCAGTGGCATCTATCACCACTGGCAATACTGAGTCTGGCAATCTGGACAGTTTCCAAGGCTGATACCTTAGTCATGAGATGGCATGAAGGGGAATCAAACTTCTCATGAGAGTTGCCAGTTCTTC